CGCTGCCATCTTGTGTGGCTTTTCCCAGGCTGCCGTGCCTTCCCCTTTTCCCCCTATAAAATGGGGTTGCTGGCCCTCCCCGTTGTTCGCAGCGGGGGGACAGCGGCCCTGGCAGCCTGAGGTGCTCGTGTCCCTGAGGGGGAGCCTGGCCGAGGCTCGGGTGGGCGCACTTGGCCGCGGAGGGGGAGCACGTCCCGCTGCCCCTCTGTTTGTGCCGCTAGGGTCAACACCAAAGTCCAGAGCGGCATCAGCAAGTGGCTTTTTCAAAAGTCGTTAACTCTTCCTTCAGTGAGTCAGCCTGCTTAGGCTTTAAAATGAGGTCTTCTGCACGTTTCTGGAACGTCCTACTTGAGTTGACCAACGCCTGTTGCTCCTTGATGTCTCCGAAGAAGGAAGCGTGAAGGAGAGCTTGGGAAAGAGAATGACCAGCCTCGGGAGACTAATCGGCTAGTTCAAGTTTACAAAAACATCCTCTTACGCGGGTGATGTGGAGGCAAAGGAATATAGCGGCGATAACCCCACTGGCTGCATCCTGTCGCTTTCCTGTCACTGCAGAGAGGGATTTAAGGGCAAATAAGATAGTAGGCGAATGAACTAACAGTTGCTGAGCTAGGCGTTACAAGCACTTTCTGTAAGCCTTCCCTGCGAGGAGACTTTCAGAATAAGTGGGGCTCCAAAGTTCTTATGGGCTCTATGGGATCGATTAATATAAATAGCACTGGCAGAATTTGGCTCCCTGTTGCTGATACACCAATTTCAGTGAAAGCAGAGTAAGTCCCCACTGTGTTTGCTTAGAGGATATTAGGGTATGTGGTTACTATCCGCTGGTTTATTTATTGCTGAATTGAGCTGCATGAAGAGTGCTCCAGCAGGTACGTGCAAGCTGCCCGCTGAGCGTGAGCCATTGGTCTTGAAGTCCCATCTCCAGCACTGTCTTCCACACTCCAGTCTGTGATTGGAAAGTATTTTTTCTCTTTAAATTCCAGGTGTTCAGAACATAATTAAATGCTAGCTTCCAGACTCCGCAAACTTTCCAAGAATGTATGCTTTTTACAGGGTAATTGGCAATTTATTTACTCCAGTGTTGTTTCTGTTTTTCCTATCTGGTAATGTGTGCGCAAGTCACTGGAGAGTAACACTACTGTTCACGCAGCCAAGTGGCTGAGCTGAGTTTAATGCCTCTGATCCTTCAGTTTAAATCAACAGCTACCTGCATCTTGAACTTGAAGGCAGCAGGTCTCACACTTCTGTGACACCAGGCTTTTAAAAAATAAAGCAACCCAGCAAACTGACCTCAGGCTGTACTTTCCTGCTAAAGCTGACGTTCGTTTACTTCTGCTCTTCGTTAAATCTTAGAACGCAGCTGCCTTAGCTCTCCCTGCACATGGTAAGGCAGGAACATTTCTACAGGCAATTGGGAAGTGGTGTTAAGAGGGAAGGAAGACCCCAGGGCTGCACAGTGGGATTTGGAGTGGTGAAGGGCAGTAGAGCTCATACATGGGCTGGGCTGTGAAAGAGCTTTTCCCACCTGTCGGTAGATACGTTACTGCATCTTGAGTTCATGTGGCATTTAGTTTCTGTACCACAGGCCCCTGGAGCAGAAGGTGGTGTTGCCTGGTTGTCAGCTTTAAAACCAAATCAAGGAATACAGTCTCCCTGGCCTTCAGGGAAAGTCATTCTGATGAAGACTGGAGTCTTCAGCAGGAGAAATATAAGCCCTCAGTGGCAACCTGCATGTTCTTATTTTCAAGACTAAAAACAGTAGGAGAGAATTTTGGGTGCCTACGGTTTGTCCTGGAGTCACTGATTCTCAGAGAGAGACTGCTCTGAGAGGTCCTGAGATATATCAGTCTGTGTGAGGACTGACCTCACAGGCAGTGTTGCTTATGGGTGAGAGGGTCTGTTTTGATTTGTTTCCACTTCACTTATTTCTAATGACTCTTTACCACCACCAAATGTTACCTGCCACCTGTACAATTTTCTCTATTGTCTAGTATTCATCAAGAAAGAAAATGCTGACAAGTTCTTGGAAAGAACAAAACGTGCTAACTCTTTTTTGGAGGAATTGAAGAAAGGGAGTATTGAAAGAGAATGCAATGAGGAGCGCTGTTCAAAAGAAGAAGCAAGAGAAGCCTTTGAAGACCGGGAGAAAACCGTAAGGATGAACTAATATGAAACACAGATGTATATATTTCATGTTTGCAAAATAGTATTAAGGTCTTTTGAGCTGGGCATCGGAACTTAGAAGTTGCTCTCAATCATTTAACACAAAGAATAAATAGTGGATTTGACTGTGGTTGGAATTGCTAAGGCATAAACATACAATAAGAGTCTTAATTTAGCTCTTGCAAGGTCAGCCATGTTAAAGCCTCCATTCTTTTACCTGTTCTCATCTGTTTGATTGCCGTTGTGAGATATTTGACCTTTAAATGATTTGATACTACCCATGTTAGAAATGCGTTCACGCTATCTGGGTGGCATAGCTGAGGGTTATGACTATGTTCTAGAGTTCTTAGGTGGAGAGTCCATGGGAAGATTGAGAAGGCAAATGCTGACATGGAACTTCATGGGAGAATTTTGCCGAACTTATCTTAAGCAGCTTTGCAGTGTTTACCATTTTGTGGCTCTCTCTTTCAATATCTGAATTGACAGAATGTATACTGTTGACAGTTCCTATATGCCTTAGTGTTAAGTTGCACATGTGGAATGAAGTTTGTATGTGCGACTCTCATGTTACCTTCCCTGATGGCTGCTTAACGTTAGACAGAAATGTGATCTGTTCCCAAGCTCAAGGGAGAGTTAAAGAGATGATGCAGCTGTGGGGACTGGGGTCAGTAGAAAAGGTGGTATTTGAAAACTTGAAATGACTTGGTGGTGGAGGGAAATTGGGAACATTGGCCGTAGCTATGTGGCTGTTAAGAACAGCCCTGAAACTGGAGTTAATGCTAAAGTGAAATTAATCTGGCCTTACTTGATGGCCAGGCTGTTCTTGGAGTGGCCTTGAGATGGCCTGGGTGGGGAGTCATGGGTGCATCGCCAGGGTACTTCAGAACATAAAGGTTGGCTGATCTATAGCAGAACCAGCACAGCCTGTTCTGCCTGGTGTCCAGATGTCATTGAAAAGGACTGTCTTGGACAGACAGCATACCTGGAGTCCTCAGTGCGGAGGGAAAGAACAACACAAATTGGACAAAATATTTTTAAATCTCAGGATTTCTGAGGTCCTGATTGATGGGGGCACGGGTGTGTGTGCAGGGTGCAGATTGAGAATTTGGCATTACAGGAATGTAAGTAAATTCAGTCAAAACTGATGGAAAGATAGAGTTATGCAAGAAATCAAGTGCGTTATGCTGACTGAGTTACATTGGGAAATCTCTAAGGAATTTTAGATACTTCTGAAAAATGCATGAGACTTGTTTCTGTAGAGGCGGGCACTATAGATGGGTCATATGTTTTTCATTAAATGGTAATAGCAGGCTGCAAGGCACTGTATGTGCCTGTAACTTAAATATTTGTTTTAACAATTGTTAGCTGCAAGTATCCTCTGTATGAAAGCTCTAATATTCTTCTGAAGAATTCAGTAATTCTCATCTAACCGTTTTTGTCTCCTTTTATTCCCCTTTTCCCACATCTACCTGTAGGAGGAATTCTGGAACGTCTATGTAGGTAAGAAACACTCTGCGTTTGTTTAGAGAATTAAGCTTCCTTATTGCAAGGTTAAAAAGGATGCACCTCTTAAGTACCCACTTCCTGCTCCCTTGCTTCCTCTCTTTCCACTGTGGGATGCCCTCACTTTGTGTTTCCTTTGAAGAAGGAATCTGATTTACTGCCTTGCTGTTGCTTGAACCCAGTCGCTTCATTCAAAGGCAAGGTTCAGCTGTCTCCAATTGCTGGGATGATCTTTGTCCTCTCAAAAAAAGAATAGTTGCCCTTTGCATGCAAAGGACAGTGAGAAGTAGAAACTGGGTGTGTGACTCTGCTGGTCAGTTGTCCTCCAGAGGGGCAGCCCCAGATGGGGGAATTCAAGATGCAAAGAGTCATAGATGAGGGTGGAGCTGAAATGCCCAAAATGCCCTAGACAACACAAAGTTATTAGACTGTATCGCACAGTCACTTGCCAGTTGCATGTCACCTTCCATGCCAGAGTGTTGTTGATTCCTGTATTATAGAGCATTTTGTGGGATGTGTTTTCTACAGAACTGTTTGGCATTCAAGGGAGACATATCAGTAGATTAGCAGATACTACCCATCAGTCTTTTCTGTTTTTTTTTTCCTAAAGGTCTGAGGTGTGTTTATTAGGGTTCTAGTGTTCATAATCACAATGCAGGGACAGATTTTTAATGTATTAGTGTTTGGTGGCGTGTTCTCCTGAAAGTATGTGTCCAGCTTGCATGTTAGGAGGAGTACCTCAAAAATGTTGACCAAAGACAGCTCAGCTTTGTCTTTTGGAATCTGCAGAAAATTGAAGACAGTTGCCATGAAGAAGATGCAGACTTTCACAATCCTCTAAGTGGGGGATGAACTCTGCAACCTACAGGCTGAAATTTCAAGCAAAGCCTGTGTCAGTGTTGCAGTGAACAAGAGCAGAAAATTTCAAACCATTTTCTCATGAGAATACAAGCAGCAGAACATCTGTGCCACTGTTCTTAGCAGAAATGCCAATTTCATACATTTTAAACCGCAGTCCACGAATGCTTTGTTGGTGTTTAGAAGTATTGAAAACCACAGCTACCCTCAGCCAAGTTACTAGAACAATTCATTCTTGCTTCCTTTTTTAGTAGGGGACTCTGCAATGCTTTTGTGCAATATTGATATGAAACTCATTACCACAGCGGCAACTACAGTGTAGG